CTCTCTCTCTCTCTCTCTCTCTCATCCTACCTCTCTCTCTACCTCTTTCTCTCTCTCGCATTCTCTCTCTCTCTCTCTCTCTCTCTCTCTCTCTCTCTCTCTCTCTCTCTCTCTCTCCCCCCCCCCCCTCTGTGTGTGTGTCTCTCTCTCTCTACCTCTCTACCTCTCTCTCTCCCTCTCTCTCTCTCTCTCTCTCTCTCTCTTCTCTCTCTCTCTCTCTCTCTCTCTCTCTCTCTCTCTCTCTACCTCTACCTCTCCCTCTCTCTCTCTCTCTCTCTCTCTCTCTCTCTCTCTCTCTCTCTCTCTCTCTCTCTCTCTCTCTCTCTCTCTCTCTCCCTTCTCTCTCTTCCTCTCCCCCTCTCTCTTTTCCCTACCCCTCTCTCTCTCTCTCTCTCTCTCTCTCTCTCTCTCTCTCTCTCTCTCTCTCTCTCTCTCTCTCTCTCTCTCTCTCTCTACCTCTCTACCTCTCCCTCTCTTAGTCTCTCTCTCTCTCTCTCTCTCTCTCTCTCTCTCTCTCTCTCTCTCTCTCTCTCTCTCTCTCTCTCTCTCTCCCTTCTCTCTCTTCCTCTCCCCCTCTCTCTTTCCCTATCTCTCTCTCTCTCTCTCTCTCTCTCTCTCTCTCTCTCTCTCTCTCTCTCTCTCTCCCCCTCTCACTCCCTCTCTCTCTCTCTCGCTCTTTCTCTCTCTCTCTCTCTCTCTCTCTCTCTCTCTCTCTCTCTCTCTCTCCCCCTTTCTCTCTCTTTCTCTCTCTCTCTCTCTCTCTCTCTCTCTCTCTCTCTCTCTCTCTCTCTCTCTCTCTCTCTCTCTCTCTCTCTCTCTCTCTCTCTCTCTCTCTCTCTCTCGCTACCTCCTGGAGGAGGGTGGCAGTGGAGAGAGGTGGAGAGAGGTGGGATGCAATGCTAAGCAGTGAACAAGTGACAACGCCCACCTCTCTCACCCCCTCCAATACGTGTCTATTTCTGAGGCGCCTCAAAAATAGTCTCCCCCACCTCCCTCACCCTTTCCAGCAGTTGTTGCTGCAGCCGACCCAAATTCCACGCTACCTCTCTCTCTCTGTCGCTCTCTCTTTCGCTGCACCCTTCCCTCACCACCGTTTTCCCCGTTCGCTTTTATCCATCCACTCCTCTTCTTTTATTTTCATTCATTTCTTTCTTCTCTCCCGCTCCTATTTGGTGTTCTGCTTCACCTGTTGCTAGGCCTTACTTGTGTGAACTAGTTCTCTATGTTGCTCTGATTTTTTTCCCAATTTATGCTCGTTCTTTTTAGTTTTACGGTTTTTTACTAACTTGTTTTCCCCTTTTTGTTTCATTAGTTTTTGTGGTTTGGCTGTAGGGTCCACCCTTTTGGGTGTTGTTAGATTATGCTCCGTGCCTCGCTGGTTTTTTTGGACTGCATCATGTTTCCCTTATTTCGACTTCTAATTTTTGCTTGGTGCATGCAGCTGAATTCATGTCTCTAATGCATGGGTACTCGTGGCAATGAGTTTCGTGGATGTCAAAAACGGGATTGCTCTTATCGTTTCAAGAAGGATCGCTTGACTCTCTCCTTGAGTGTAGTCATTTAACCTGGGAGCGATAAGTGCAACTCAGATTTTGGTATTCACGAAGTTTATTACCTTGAAGCAATGTATTATGTAGGCATTTAGCTTGAAAATCCCCCCCTAACCTATTACGACAAATCTAGTATTTTGACTGTCAACAAATATAATTGTCTATGCTAAGTATAGTATACAGTGGCGGAAAAAAATGCCCGGATGTTTAGCACTTTGAAACATATCGCTATGCCACACTTGTTTCGAAAATAGTAACACCATTTTTTTCCCATCCTGTTACAAGGTTGTCGAGTTCTGCTTCAACCGTTTCTTGCTTGGCGCGATTGTGACACAACCGAAAAGTGGGGTTGAGATTTACTCCTCGTCTGTCGATGCGGACAGTTCATACCGAGCGACAGACTAGATCTATTTTTGCCCGTCACTCGGTGTGAACATCGTCACGCGCAACAGCTGCTAGTCTAGGAGTTAGTCCTGAAGCGAACCTACGACCGCATCGCCATGAAGCCGGTAGATGACAAGAAGCGCGCGCGAATCATAAGCATGTTGCGCAAAGGGCATTCGACTAGGAAAATAGCCAAAGTTCTTGGCATAGGCAAGAGCACCGTCCACGATTACGGTTTGAAGGTGATTGCCGAGACTAGTCGCGATGAGGTGCGACCCACGATGCCCACGGCTGGCCGCCCCCGCTTAATCTCAACCCGACTCCAGCGCGGAATAGTTCGAGCGATTACAAGCGGTGAGGCGAAAAACAGTGTAGACGCCGCAAAGATGTTGCAGGAGAAGCACGGTCTGGCTGTAGACTCGAAGACGGTCAGGAACTCGTTACGATCCGCGGGCTTGATCGCCGTGCAGCAGCCCAAGAAACCCAGGCTCTCACCGAAAAACATACGTGATCGTCTTGATTTCGCGAGGTCGCATGCTGACTGGACGTTGGAGGACTGGAAGCGGGTGATTTGGTCTGATGAGACTGGGATAAACCGCTACTGCTCCGACGGACGTGCGTACGCCTGGATTCGCGAGGGCACCAGCCTCCAGAGCCATCAAGTCCAACAGACAGTTAAGCATGGGGGCGGTTCTGTGATGGTGTGGAGTTGCATGACGTATGAGGGGGTGGGGTTCATGTGCAAGATAAATGGCAGGATGGATGGGCCGCTGTATCGCAGCATCTTGCAAGATGAGCTCAAACAGACCATCGATTTTTTCAAAGCTACCCCCCTCAGAGGTCATTTTCCAGCACGACAATGATCCCACGCCCAGGTCCCGTCTGGTCCAAGGCTGGCTTGGGGAGCAGGAGTATGCGGTGCTGGAATGGCCCTCGTCCTCCCCGGACCTTAACCCAATAGAGCACCTATGGGCACACTTGAAAAGGCAGCTGGCGACGTACGAAAAACCACCTAGTGGAATGCTGGAGCTGTGGGAGAGGGTGCAGGAGGAATGGGACAAGATACCGGCGGAGGTGTGTTCAAACCTCATCGACAGTATGCCGAGGAGGATCAAGGCAGTGATTCGCACAAAGGGACGCTGGACTAGGTACTAGTTTTTCAAGAATCTAGTTTGCTGCCAGTTCTCGGTACAAATTGTCATGATGTGCTCTTATGATATGCTTAGGTGTTTAAGGACCATGTATTATACTACTCTGGTGTTTGTCGACTTGAATGAGTGCTCTAAATGATCTTCTCAACGTGTATGCACACCATAAAATAAGGCTTAATGTTTACGCCGCTGCACTCATCAAAATGCAAAAAAGGACTGAACATGTGGACAATTTTTTCCGTCACTGTATTTGTTTATGCTAGGTACAGCAGCAGCAGCAGCAGCCGCAGCAGTCTTGGGGGCCGGCGGGCCCTGGGGGTGGTAGTCGTGGTGGAGGCCGTGGGGGTTGGGGCCCAGGGCTGTCGGTGCCCTGGGGGTCGCGTGGCTCTTCTGTGAGTCAGGGTGCTGGTGGTTCTGGTAGCGCGGTAACCTGCACGTACCAGCTGCTGACTGGCCCACAGCCGGGCCAGGTGTGCGGGCGCGTGGGGCACACCGCCGCTCACTGCTTCTGCCGCCTGGACGACCTCTACCGTCGTCACTTCGGCCCGCAGGTGCAAGTTCCCCCCTGGCCGGTCTTGCTTCATCGTGGAGTTCCTATATTTGATCTGGATATGATTCAGATTGACCATGCCTTACATTCTCTGTATTCTGATGCTTCTAGTATTGCTAGTTTTTATTATCCTGTTGTTTGTAGCCTTGGAGCTACTAATGTGTGTAGTCTAGGATTCCCTGCTGCGTCAGGCGTAGGACATGTTAGAGACTCTTCACCGCGCCCCGCCTCGTCGGCCCTCTCCTTTGTCTTAGACTCTGTAGCGTCTCGGTGCTTCTTTCGAGACAGTACTGCTCTCACCCAGCTTCCTACGCCTGTCCGCGTCGCACTAGCAGAATCCTCTGCCACAGCTGTTGCACGTAGCACCACCACTCTCCCCTGTCCGGCTGTCCCGTCTCGCTCCCTCACAGGTCTGCACATCCCCTCGTTTGCTAGGAACTTAGTGGGTGTCGGTCACCTCCAGGACCGAGGCGTCACGACTACGTTCCCTGGCCGCAAGAGACACGCTGCTTGCACAAACACAGTCACCGGTCGACACCTAGCTACCTTTGAGCGTGACTCTGGATCAGGTCTCTTTACCCTGCATAATGAGTCCCCGCTCACTGCTGCGTCTGCCGAGGTCGCCGCGTCCTGCTCATGTCGCTTACTAGCCCACCCGACCCTTCTGTGGCACCACCGCTTAGGTCACCCTGCACTCCCGCGTCTTAGGCACATGTCCCAATACAGTCTAGTCACTGGTCTCCCTACGTCACTCCCCGCCTTGCCTCCGTCGGTAGTGCCACTGTGCACCTCCTGCATCGAGGGCCGGCAGCGCGCCGCCCCTCACTCCTCCTCGGTTCCTCCTACCACAGCACCACTACAGACATTGCACATGGACGTCCGGGGCCCTGCCCCGGTCCATGGTCTCAGTCGGGAGCGCTACTTCCACGTCGTCGTTGACGACTTCTCGCGGTTCACCACAGTTTTCCCGTTGGAGCGGAAGGCCGACGTGCCAACCGTTCTCTTCCCGTGGCTTCTCACTGTTAGCACCGCCCACCGACTGTCTGTAGGTTGCTTAAACTCTGAATGCGGTGGCGAGTTCGCCTCTGGCTCTCTAGGACGGTTCTGTTGTGCGGAGGGCATCCGCCAGACGTACACACTGCCAGACTCCCCACAGCAGAATGGGATCGCTGAGCGACGCATCGGCCTGATCATGGAGGTGGCTCACACCTCCATGGTCCACGTCGGTGCACCCCATTTTCTGTGGCCGTTCATCGTGCGCTACGCTACTCACCAGCTTAACCTGTGGCCGCTCTCCTAGCGACCACAGGTTTCGCCGACCGCGTCTCCTGGTGACGCGTCTGCGTTCCACGTTTGGGGCAGCCTTGCTCACATCCGCGATACTGTCGCGGACAAGCTCTCAGCCCGCACTCTTCCTTGTGTCTTCTTGGGGTTCCCGCTTGACGCCTCTGACTGGCTGTTCTACCACCCCTCACACCACCGTTTTTACCACTCTCGTGACATCACCTTCGACGAGACGCTCCCCTACTACTAGCGCTTCCCGCACCGCAGCGCTCCTGTGCCTCCTCCTCCTCTCTTCCTTGTCCCTGCCCCCCCTGCCGCACCCCTCCCGCCCCGCCCGGCCCAGTCTGGTGTCTCCCACGCCACTCAGTTCCCCTCGGTTCCCCCTGTGGGGGAGTCGGCTGACTCTGGGGGCCCTGCTGCTAGGGGTGCGCCTGCTGTCCCTGTGGCACCTCCCCTAGCCTCGGTCCCCCAGGCCCCTCAGCCGCCTGCTCCCTTGCCTCAGCAGCAGCAGTCGTCGCCGCAGCAGACTCCACGGCCGCAGCAGCAGCAGCAGCATGGAGCAGTGGGCTCTAGGGGTGCTGGTTCTGGGAGTGCGAGTTCTGGGGGTGCTGGTTTTGTAGGTGGTGAGACCAAGGGTGCTAGTCTTGGGGGTGCTGTTTCGCGGCGTGCGGGTGGCAGCTGGGGTGCCATTGGAGTTCCTGGAGCGGACAGGCAGCAGCAGCAGCAGCAGGTGCAGCCGCCGCAGTCTGCCCTTCGTCTCCTTGGTCTTGCTCCAGGATCCCCTGTCAGCCCTCCCGTTCCCCCTCCGGTGCGTGACCCTATTTACGGCCAGTTGTTTCCTCCTCCGGACTCCTCTCCGGCTCGTTTCCCCCCGCTCTCCCCTCCGTCCACTGACCTGTCCCCCATCCCCCCTCGTCCCCAGTCCCCAGTTCTTCCCCACTGGGTTCGTCGCCCCTCTAGTGCTTGTCCTGTCTCTCCCCATCCTAGTGTCCACCCTATGCTCCTTCATTCGTGTGCTCCTCCCGTCACAATCCTCCCCCGTCGTCGCTACCATCGTCCCCCCCTCCTTGCTCCGACGATGTTCACACTGCTCGTCCAGTCCTGTCGCGCCTACTTGCGTCGCTTGTCACTGACCCTAGTGCTCCTCCTGAGTCAGTCTCCGCGCTGGTCGCTGCTGCCGCTGACTTTGCTGCTAGCCACCGCCTTGATTACGCTGCCGCTCTGGTCTCTGGTACTGTCCGTCCTCCGTCCGTCGGGGGTGCACCTGCCCTTGGCAGTGACGTACTAGAGGACATGCAGTACGAGTTGGCCTACCTTGCTGCCGCTGTTCCCCATCTCTGCTCCATGCTTGTATCCCCAGAGGGCGACCCAGACGCTCTCAACATCCCTGTTCCGCGTTCTTACGCTGAGGCGGTGTCGAGGCCCTGGGCAGCCCAGTGGATACAGGCCATGGAGACTGAGATGGCATCCTACAGATCCACTGGCACCTACGTCGACGCAGTTCCCCCGCCTTGGGCGAACGTAGTCGATAGCATGTGGATCTACAGGGTGAAACGCGCACCTGGAGAGCCGCCGAAGTTCAAGGCGCGTTACGTGGCTAGAGGCTCCAGTCAGCATGAGGGAGTGGACTTCTTCCAGACCTTCTCCCCGACCCCGAAGATGACTACTCTTCGGGTCCTTCTTCATATAGCCGCACAGCGTGACTACGAGCTTCACTCACTCGACTTCTCCACAGCGTTCCTGTAGGGTAGTCTGCGCGAGCAGATCTACCTCTAGCGCCCTCAAGGCTTCTCTGGGTCCTTCCCACCTGGGACCCAGTGGAGCTTGCGCCGTCCTATCTACGGCCTTCGTCAGGCACCCCGTTAGTGGCACGACACGCTTCGCACCACTCTTGCTGAGCTGTAGTTCTTTTCATCCTCTGCTGACCCCTCTCTCTTTGTTCGCACGGGTCAGACACCGTTCTACATTCTAGTGTACGTAGACGATCTTATCTTTGCTACTCCCGACAGAGTCGCACCGGCCTCAGTAAAGGCCGAGTTACTTAGGAGACACACCTGTACAGACTTGGGAGAGCTGAGGCGCTATCTGGGCTTGGAGATCTCTCGTGACTGTGCCGCTCGCACGATCACACTCTCCCAGTCCCATATGGTGCAGCAGATCCTCCTAGGTTTAGTCTCCAGTTCTCCTCAACATAGCCCACCCCCCTGCGTGTGGATCACAAGCTCTCTGCTCCTGTTCCGGCTGAGCCGGTCGAGGCTAGTGGTCCATATGCAGAGCTGGTGGGGTGCCTCATGTACCTGATGACATGCACTCGACCAGATCTAGCGTACACTCTCAGTCTCCTGGCTCGCTTTGTCGTGACAGGCAGGCACCGACCAGTCCACTGGTCGGCTGCCAAGAGGGTACTGCATTATCTGGCGCGCACATCAGGACTGGGGCTTGTGCTAGGAGGACGGGAGCGAGTGGTGCTCACTGGACACACAGACGCGTCGTGGGCAGACGCCTTGGAAACGCTCTGGTCGACTCAGGGCTACTGCTTTAGTCTTGGTGCTGGTGCAGTCTCGTGGAGGTCCACCAGGTCGTCGTCTGTAGCTCAGTCCAGCTGTGAGGCAGAGATCTACGCTGGGGCCATGGCTGCTCAAGAGCTCTGCTGGCTGACGTTCTTGCTCACTAACGTAGGTGAGCAGCCTAGGTCTGCCCCAGTCCTGTTTGCTGACAACAGGGCCATGATCCTCTTGTGTCAGGAGGCACGACTTGAGGGCAGAGCGAAGCACATCCAGCTGCGGTACTTCCTGCTGCGAGAGTTGCAGCAGCGCGGTCAGGTCCATGTAGTACAGTTGGCCTCAGAGGCCAACACCGCTGATATCTTCACCAAGGCACTTACGCCTCGTGACCATCAGCGGTTCTGTACTCAGCTTGGTCTAGCCTCAGTAGCAGCACCTCTCCTTGTATCCTGAGTCATACTATACTTGTCTGTACTTGTTGTGTTATACCTGCTTGTCTTGCTACACTTGCTGACTGGCCTTGTGGCCTCTTGTCGCAGTGGTCAGACTAGTAGTACTGCCCTGATTTTTCTTATTACACTCATCAGAGGTCGGACTAGTAGTGCTGCCCTGGTGTACTTTTCTTGTTAGGAACTGCCACTATCTTGGCTAGGGGTTGTGTCAATAAATATAATTGTCTATGCTAGGTACAGTATATTTGTTATAGCCTTAATTAGGTCAGTTCTTAGAGGGTACATTCCCACCTTTGTAACCCTTAGCATTCCTCCCTTAGTCACATTTCCCTCGATATTCTAACATTGACTTCCCCCACTCAGCTGGGGAAGCGATCGCCTATTTTTGTCCTCGAGAAAAATACGCCACGAGAAATCATGGAAAACATTAACACATGATTTTATTTTCTACCCTTGTTTCTTGATCTAAATTGTACTGCCAAACCTCTTACTAGCCATTCCATTTCCAAGAATGTTCAAAGTTCCTGCTTTGAAATTGAGGGCCGTTTGATGGGCTCAACTGTTCAGTATCGGCAACCTTGTTTCATTCAGGCCGGCTTTCTTGACCGTGGCAGTAATAAAACTGGTCTGTTATAATTCGCGGTCCATGCGGGCACGACAGAAAGTTCGACCTACGTTTGGCCTAGAAACTTCGAATCCCCTGGAAAATTGTCGCACACGCCTCTTCGAGCTCCACTCCGCAATGTGCAGACGACCGGCCCCTCGGTGTCTCCTCCCCACCCCTTGCGTCCGCCCCACCGAACCCACTCCGCCCTTGTGCTGCCCCAAAACTGCCTCCCCACCTCACCTGACTCTTTTCCCGTACCGCTTCCACCTCCGTCTCCCGCGCAACCCTTCGTTCTTTGGGTTCCCCTTCCCCCTCTCCCCCTCCTGGTTGTCCCACCTCCCTCCGCTCATTTCCCCCAACCCCCAACCCACCCCACCCCACCCCCCCCAGTCGCCTCTCGCGCAAGCCTAATTTGGGAATCAGGTTCCCCCAGCCCCAAGCTTTCGCCTCTTTCCGCAGCGGCTTTTGCTTGACCGCGCAACCAACCATTTCGAAGCGATGCGTCAGGTCTACTTTCCTACACCACAACTCGATTGGGAGCCTCCTAACTACATAAGTGCGTTTCCTAGCGGGCTACGCTACCAAATGTCCCGCATTTCACGGTAGCCAACTTTGGGTTATACGTTGTGGTTGTTGGCGTCATGTTCTGTCGGCTTCCAGAATCTGCGAGACAATTTCGCGAAACGCGGCAGGATACATTTTCCGTCTCCCGTTGTCTATATTACCTTAGCCTTCAGCCTTGCAGTCTTCAGGCCGAGTTGACCTACCTTTCACTCAATTAGTAACGCTAATATTCCTCACTCTATAGTCAATTGCGATTTTCGCGAATCAGGCGTCTTCTTGCATACTCATGGACAATACTGACGAACCCGAGCGAGGGATTGGTAGGCGACGCCGTCTAGCTGCTACTTAACGCATAGGTACGCTTGCCATCTCGCTGTTTCTTAGACGACTTCCGGGTCGACGCCCAGCGAGGGAAGGTAGTCGACGCCGTTCAGCGAGGGACGGACGAGCTACTGCTTAATTCATAGGTACGCTTGTCATTTCGCTGCTTCGTAGCCTCCACGGCTACTCGCGCTTATTCTTGCACAGTTCTCGCTGCTATTCGCCGTTTCCAACACAGTTCCTGAGGTTTGTGAGCGTGAGTACAATGCTCCCTTACCAGCCTCGAGTGCACCGCCTGATCATGTTTTCATTCTAAGCGGCGTACTTAAACACCGAACATCCCGCCTGATCATCCCGCCTGCGCCGTTTCTATGTTCAGAACAAATTTCCTCTCCCTTTCCTCCTCCTCCCCCCTCCCCCCTCCTCCCCCCCCTCCCCCTCCCCCCCCCCCCTCCACACCCCCCGGCCCCCTTCTTGTCCTGCTGGGCTTAATACAGCACATTCGTTTCCACTGCCTCGTTTTCTGAATGCAGCTGGGATGTTTGAAAATATTCGTCCCCAATGGCACGCGCAACCTTATTCAACGCTATTCTCTTGTACCGGGACCGTCAATCTTGCCGATTCCCCTAGCCGTTAGTATCTTCAGTGTGGTGTCTCCCGCCAATAGAAACAAGCAGGACCTAAAATTTCAGCAGTTTCAGAGGCGAGGGCTCGCCCATGGGTTGTGGGGGATCCAAGGCTCTGGCAGCAGTCGACAACCCTCCACCTGCCCCACCCACCAAGCCCGTAGCACCAATACCGCCACCAGCCGCAGTAGCACCAGCAGCAGCGGCAGTACCCGCACCAGAAAAGCCCGCGAAACCGGCGCAGCCAACGAGCGCAGCTGTAGCAGCAGCGCCTTCAGTAACTGAACCCGTCAGCCTAGCTAAAGCTCCCGATCCCCCCTTAGACGCTTTAGACGCTTCAGTCGCGCCCATCCAACAAGACCCTCTTGTCGTGCTACAGGAGTCGCTGCCCGAGCCGGCCGTTCCCGTTGCACGTGATGCTGCCCTTGATGTTTCCGGGGGAAAGGCGGAGGCAGCGCCAGCAGCAGCCGCGGCGGTAGATCCCCCCCAACCTCCTGGCGCAGACCCTGTGGAAATAGGTCTGTCCGCGGAGGTTAGCCATTCCGCGGAGGCCCAGCAGGCGCAAGCTGGCGCCGCGGAAGGGGAAGAAGGCACAAGGGAGGCAGCCGATGGCGGAGGGGGAAGGTTGGCAGGGGCGGGGGACGGGGATGAGGCGGATCAGAGCGGGCGCATAGCTCTAGAGGACGAGAGTGGTGGGAAGAGTGGTGAGGAAGCTGGGGGGCGGAGTGGTGAGGGGCAGGAGCATGGGCTCAGCAGGCGCAGTGAGGACGGCGGTTGTCAAATGTCAAATGAGATGATGGGAGACGGCTTAGATGGTGACTCAGAGCACGCAGCAACAGAAGCTGCTGCTGCTGCTGCTGCTGATCCTGCTGCTGTTGCTGAAGCGCCCGTTGCTCAAGACACGTCTGCTTCCGCAGCTGCAGTTGCTGACGTGGCAGAGGCTCGCGACAGCGTGGGCGGGCTAGCAGCAGCAGCAGGAGCGGGAGCAGATGAGTCTGGAGCAAGCGCAGGTGGCAATGGCATTACAGGGGGCAGTGGAAATGGTGAGGCCGGTGGCAGTAAGGGGGGCGGTGTCAGTGGTGCTAAAAGCGGGGGAATCCTTACAGGGACTTCTGGCGGCGCTGCAGCAGCAGCAGGGTCAGCAGGATCAGCAGGCGCAGGAGGTCTACCCCCAACGAGCAACAGCGCGGGCAGTGGGGGGGGAGGCGGCAGTGCATTGCTCGCGCACAGCGCCATCTCCCGCTCGCTGTCCAATGACAGACACCGCGCGCACACTCCCCCGCTCCCCCCCCACCACCGCCCCACAAGCTCCCCCTTGCAAGGCCCGAGCCACCACCAGCAGCAGCAGCAGCACGGGCACAGCCAAGCTTCAAACCACTCACAGCAGCAACAGCAGCACGAGGAGGCCAGGTCAAGTCCTTTGGCCCCCTCACATCAGCAGCAGCAGCAGCAACAGCAGCAGCAGCAGCAGCAGCCGGTTTCCAACGAGCGGATAGGCAGCAGCCTGCTAGGCCGCTCTAGCTCCAACCGATCCATGGGCCGACCCTCCACCCAACCCAACACCCCGAAGCACTCCCCCTCCCCCAACTTTGCCGCCTCCCCAAACCACTCCGCCTCCCCCCAGGGCTTTGGCCTGCTCCGCTCCGCCAAATCCAACCCCCACAACCCCCTCCCCTCCCCCCGCCAACCTGGAACCCCCCTCCCCCGACCCCCCTCCCCACCCATGTCCCCCCATGGGATACTCCGCGTGCCTGGCTCCCCCGCACCCCTCTTTGGCGGAATGGCGCTCCCCCTGCCCTCCCCCCAGTCCTTTGGCTCGTCAAATTCGACTGGTGGAGGCGCAGGGATAGGGGGGGGCGGAAGCGGGAGTAACATAGGCAGTAGTAACCTTGGTGGAGGAGGGGGTATGGGGGGGAGTTTCCGCAGAGTCGGTACGGGCAGTGGTTCTGGTGTTGGTGGTGGTGGTGCTGGCAGTGGTGGCGTTTTGCCCAAGTCTGGCAGTCAGCAGCAGCAGCAGAGCCAGAGCCAGAGTCAGAACCAGGGCCAAAATCAGCAGCAATCCGGATCAGCAGGTGGTGGCTCGATCTCTGGAAACAACAACAACAGCAGCAGCAGCCTTAGCGCTAGCAGCAGCATGCCTAGAATGCCTGCGATCACCCAGCAGAACCCCGCGAATCTGCGTGTGTTTTCGTATACGGAGCTGAGGGCCGCAACAGGGGGGTTCAGCAGGGAGAATCTGCTGGGGGAGGGCGGGTTTGGGGGCGTGTACAAGGGGCACGTGGACGCGTGGCCTATAGACGGCGTGCCTATAGTGATGGGACAGAAGATTGTAGTGGCGGTCAAAAGGCTCAATAAAGACGGACTGCAGGTGAGGATGTGGGGGGGGAGGGGAACAGGTCACAGGTGGGCGCATGGGCTAATGAGGGCTGTATGTGTGTGTGTGGCCTGTAGACGGCCTGCCTATAGTGATCTGGTAAAATATCACAGTGGCCCTCTTTCCTCTCCTTCTACACCCGCAGCTGAGACATTTTCTGAGGCTCCAGCCTCCCCTCCCACCATCCCCTCCTGCTCCCCCTCCCGTCTCCCCCCTCCCCTGCTAAAATATCAACACCACCAGGGACACAAGGAGTCTAGTTTTGAGGCGCCTCAAAACCAGCCTCCCTCCCCCCTTCTGCTCCTGCTCCCCCTCCCCTCCCCCCTCCCCTGCTACAAAAACAACAACAACAGGGCCACAAGGAGTGGCTGGCGGAGGTGAACCTTCTGGGAACATTCAGCACTTGTCTTTCTTCTTTCTGGGACATGCTCTGACTGAGCCTCCTCAAAATCTTCTCCTTCCCCATTCGACCCCCACCCCCCTCCTCCCACCCTCCCACAGGGCCACAAGGAGTGGCTGGCGGAGGTGAACTTTCTAGGAAACATCCAGCACCCGCGGCTGGTGCGGCTGCTGGGGTACTGCGCGGAGGAGGACCACCGGCTGCTGGTGTACGAGTTTGTGCCCAACAAATCCCTGGAGGACCACTTATTCAAGACCGGCTCGAAGGGCGGGCCTGGGCTGGCGTGGCTGGAGCGCATCAAGATTGCCCTGGATGCGGCCAAGGGGCTGGCGTATCTGCATGACGAGACAGAGAACCAGGTGAGCCCCCTGCAGTGCTTGCTGACAGCTGAGGAAGCCCTGCCCAGAGCCCTTGCGTTCAGCAGCGCACGGGTGCTGGGGTGGTTGTAGTGGCACTGTGCAGAGGAGGAGGAGGACCACTGGCTGCTGGTGTGCGAATTCGGGCCCAATAAGTCCCGAGTAGGCAACAAAGGTGGGACTGGGCTGGCGTGGCAACAAAGGTGGGATTTGGTCCTTCGGACTTATCGGGACCACCTGCTCAAGACCGGACTAGGCAACAAAGGTTGGACTGGGCTGGCGTGGTTGAATTGAAGGGGCTGGCTTACCTGCATGTTGAGACAGAGAAACACATGAATCTAGTTTTGCAACCCCTCGTTGTGAGATGTTTCGTTTTGAGGCTTTTCGCTTTGAGACGTCTCAAACTCAAGGAGGCTGGCGTACCCCCGCTGCCCCGCATGACGAGGCGTAAAACCAGGTGCGCTTGCTTTAGTGCCTTTCTCCTTGCGATTGTTTCTTAGTCGACTCAAAAGCTTTCTCCTTGCGATTGTTTACATCTGTGACATACTCGGACTTCGCGACAGCCATTATCCTCCTAGACAACGTCGTGCTCGCCAAGCTGTCAGGCTTGGACTTGTGCTCTCACACGCGCACATCCCTGTCCACTTCCCCATGCATGCAGGTCATCTTCCACGTGATAGGAGTCTAGTTTTGAGGCGCCTCAAAACCATATCCCTGTGCACTCCCCCCATGCATGCAGGTCGTCTTCCAGGATTTCAAGGTGCCCAACATCCTACTAGACTACGACCTGCACGCCACGCTGTCCGTCTTAAAAGCTGCTCCCACACTCAAATCCCTCCCATGCTTTCTCCCACACACACCACACCCGCAGGTCATCTTCCGGGATTTCAAGGCGGCCAACATACTGCTGGACAGCGACCTGCACGCCAAGCTCTCAGACTTTGGGCTCGCCAGGGCGGGGCCAGAGGGCGACCGCACGCACGTCAGCACACAGGTGAGTGCACACGTCAGCAAGCAGGTGAGTGCACACGTCAGCAAGCAGGTGAGTGCACACGTCAGCACGCAGGTGAGTGTAGAAACGAGCTGATGTACATAGAGATGAGCACTCGCCAGGGCGGGGCCAGAGGGCGACCACACTCACGTCAGCACGCAGGTAGGGCTGTACTTGCGCATGTGAGCATCCACATGCACGCACATACACGCACATGTGAGCATGCACATGCATGCACATGTACGCACATGTGAGTACGCACATGCACGCAGATGCACGCACATGTACGCACATGTGAGCACGCACATGCACTGCACGCACTCACGCGCTTTGCCTGTCCAGAGTAAGTTCTAATGGGCCACCTGACAGCAAGGAGCGATGTGTGGAGGTGCTGGTAGAGCTGCTGACGTCCCAAGTGCCCTTTCCCCCTCACTCCCTGTGTGCAGGGGGGTGGCACAGTGGGCTATGCCGCCCCAGAGTATGTCCTAACAGGCCACCTGACAGCAAGGAGCGCCGTGTGGAGCTACAGGGTGGTGCTGGTCAAGCTGCTGACGTCTCAAGTGCTTCCTCCCCCCCCCCTCCCCCCCTCCCCCCTTCATACCCTTTGCAGGCGGTGGGAACAGTCGGCTATGCCGCACCAGAGTACGTCGTAACTGGTCATCTCACAGCAAGGAGTGATGTGTGGAGCTACGGCGTGCTGCTGGTGGCACTGCTGACAGCTTGACTACACTCCCACCCCCATCCCCCTACCCCATACCCTTGCAGGTGGTGGGCACGGTGGGTTACGCGGCCCCAGAGTATGTCTTAACGGGCCACCTGACAGCACGCAGTGATGTGTGGAGCTACGGGGTGGTGCTGGTGGAGCTGCTGACTGGCAGGAGGGCGCTGGATGAGAGCCGCCCAAGAGAAGAGGTGTTTCTCGTTGACTGGGCCAAGCCATACCTTGCAGAGACGTGAGTGGGGTGTGTGGTGCTTGCTTGGTCTCAAGCTCTATGTCTGCTGTTAGGTCATCTCGGAAAGCACTTGCTGACGGGCAGGAGGTCGTTGGATGAGAGCCGCCCGAGAGAAGAGGTGTTTCTGGTGGACTGGGCCAAGCCGTACCTTGCAGAGACGTGAGTGCAGTGTGGTGTGCGCTCTTTTGGGGTTGTCTCTGGTGTGGTGTGCTCTCTTGTATTGTGGAGTGGAGCGGTGTGGTGTAGTGCGGTAAGAGACGTGAGTGTGAATGTGCAGTGTGCTCGCCTACATGCCCCCCCTATCCCCCCCCCCCCAACCTTTCTCACTTCCCCTGGTCGCAATCTATTTGGCTCAGTGGATCTGGGCCGTTAAGGCAACCACTCTCCATGTTCACTCCCTCATGTACCCCTTGCCTCCCTTCCTCCCCCTCCTGTCCCCTCTCCTTTCACCTCTACCTCTCCTTCCTTAGCCTCCGTCTCTTACGCATCACGGGCCCAAGGCTGCTCGGTCAGCAAGTACAGTACTCACAACCCCCCCCCACCTCCCCCCCTTCCTCTCCCCCGCGTCCTCCCTCCGTTGCTCACTTCCCCCAGCCGCCGTCTCTTCCGCATCATGGACCCAGGGTTTGAGGGCAAGTACTCTGCTAAGGGCTCACAGAAAGTGGCTGCGTTGGCGCTCTGGTGCTTAGCTAAGAACCAGAAGCAGCGCCCCACCATGACCCAAGTCGTGGAGTCGCTCACTCCTCTGCTGGACCTAACAGGTATTGGGTCTGGTTGCTCTTTTGTTCTCTAAATGCCCTACTTAGCTAAGAACCAGAATCGAAGAAGCAACCCACCGTGACCCAAGTCATGGAGTCGCTTACTCCGCTGCTTGACCTCACAGGTATAGATTGCCGGTCACTCCCTGGCTCTTTATCCACCAAGCTTAGCTAAGAACGGAAGCAACGACCCATGGCTCTTAGTCATGGAATCCCTCACTCGGCTGCTTCGCCTCAGTCACATGTATGGGATGCTCGCAGCATGCTCATGTGCTTCATGAGCCCTGGAGCAGGGGGAGGAGTGGGAGCAGGAGGAGGGGGAGGTGTGGAAAGGTCCGGGAAGGTCTGGTGCGCTGGGCGCACTTGCCATGCGTCGCGGTGCCGCCCCCCCTCCCCCGGGATTGCTGCCACTTCTCTGCTCTTCCACCCATCCTTCCCCTCCCTTACCCCCCCTCCCTCTCCCCAACGCCAGACAATGCAGGCCTCTCGGCATCTCCAGCGCCCATCACGCCCCTCCGTTTCCCCCCCGCCTCCCCCATGGGCTTCATGAGCCCTGGACCAGGAGGGGGAGGAGCAGCAGCAGGAGGGGGGGGACTGGGAGGGGGAGGTCTGGGGACTCCTGGGCGCTCTTGCCATGCGCCGTGCTGCTGGCCGACCCTCCCCCGGTATTGAAATGTTTGCCACGTCTCTGCTCTTCCACACATCTCCCCCTTCCCCTCCCCCCAACTCCAGACAATGCTGGCCTGTCCGCGTCCCCAGCACCCATCACGCCCCTGCGAGTCCCCCCCGCCTCCCCAATGGGCTTCATGAGCCCTGGGCCAGGAGGGGGAGGAGCAGCAGCAGGAGGAGCAGGAGGACTAGGAGGTGGAGGTTTGGGAACGCCTGGTGCATTGGGCGCACTAGCCATGCGCCGCGCTGCCGGCCCCCCCTCCCCCGGGATTGGTGCGTTCCCCTCTCCGCAGTTCAACTCTCTTAATCCGCCCCCCAATGCACGGTTCAGCCCGCGGCCGCCGCAGCTGCCGGTGGGGAAGCAGCAGTACACGTCCCCGCTAGTGGCTGCCTTGAGAGTGAAGGAGCGGCAGCACCAGCAGGTGCAGCAGCAGCAGCAGCAGCAGCAGCAGCAACAGCAGCAAATGCAAGCTGCAAACAGCGCAGGAGGAACGGGAGGAGGAGCAGGAGGAATGGTAGCAGGGGGAGTAGGAGGAGGATTGGGAGGGGCTGGGATGGATGGGGGTGGAGGGGTGGATGATGGAGGGGGTGTGGGGACAGTGAGGGAGAGGGCGAATGTGGGGAGGGCTGTGCCTCTGGCGATTCAGGTGACTCGTCCTCGGTTTGGCGCAGGGGCAAACCATGAGAGAACGGAGGGGGTGAAGTAGCAAGGAAATTGGCTCGCCTAGAAAGTTGTGTATGTATACTGGCGAGGCGAGAAAGATTGAGAGGGGAGAAGTGTAGGTTGGTGGTGGTGATTCTGTAGGGGTTACACAATCTCAAAGTGGCAGGTACATTGACAAATTTGATTGGCTTTCCTGCTTTGGTTGGTAGTGGTGTTATCATGGCAAAGCTTGTGGGATGGGAAGGCTGCACCGAGTTCTTGTGGTATGTCAAGTAGTTTCGTTCCATGATATGGCTGGCATCTGCTGTACAGTTCTGTAACCAATTTAGTCTTATAAGAAGC